CTCCCTCCCTCTCTCTCCCCCTCTCTCCCTCTCCCTCTCTCTTCTCCCTGTCGCGGTCACCGGAACGCAGGACTGCAGGCACTGCTCGGGCTCTGCCGCCTGCAGCAACCGCAGGAACGTAGGACTGCAGGGCTGCGGCCTGCCTAGAACAAAGCGATGAGCAACGGGACCATTCAAGGTATTGCTTTCCATGCTGAAGCAATCTCACGGACAAAAACATTTAGTGTGGGGGAGGTTTTATTTTGATATCAGAGGAAGGGATGAAGAGTGCTGTGCTATCTGTGACCGACTACAGTCTACAGGCCCTTGCCAGCAGGAGCCTGGGCAGCACATCGCTCTGTTTTCGGTTCTTCAGCTCGCACGCTCCTGGGGCATGGGAAGCATGTGGTTTTCCTCGCCATCACGGCTCGCCGTGCCAGAGCTGCCGAGGATTGGCGGAAAGCGTGCAGTCACATCGGTGGCCAAAGGTTCACAGTCCTTGATGGTTACACCTGCCCCAAAGTCCGGGCATCTCCAACACAAGCGGAATTCTGTCCATTGAAAACCAGGTAGCTTGCTACTGATTACTGAGATAGATGACAGAACCTTCCGCTGACATGATCGTTTCCACTTCCAGAGCGTGCCTCCGTCGACACCTGCGTATGTTGCTGCAGAGCGCAGCCCATATGCGATTGCGGCCATTCAAAAGCCACGCTGAGAGAATTGGCCGATTGTCAGAACACTCGAGGTACGGTTTTCCGATGCCCAGTCTGTCGTGTGTGCTTGTTCATTGTCAACGTGTCTCGGAAATGAGGTAGGGTGCTCGTGGCGAGAGGGCAGCCGCCTGGCCTTGGCCACGCAGCTCTATTCGGGTTCATCGAACTGGCCTCCTCATGCCCCATGTGCCTGTACTACCAAGGAAACACAAGGGCAGTTCTTCAAGCCACCCATGTCTGGCCTGGTCTTCTCGCTGAAGAGGAGGCTTAAACGGGAGTTGAACAGCTTACAGCAGTTGGCATCACGCAGTCCTTTGTTGAGAGAGCTGCTGGAAGACACTTCTTTTGTGGGATAAGGCAGGCTAGGCTGACCAGAGAGGTCGCGCCATCAGTAGTGAGAGCCTCCTTACATTCGGCCCTTACAGTCGACGAAGTGGCAGGACGCTCAGCAGGAGTGCATCACTGCCCGGGGTGGATGGCCGACGGCCCAGAAGTAGCGCATCATGCAATGCTGGAAGAGCAAAACAAAGTCTGTTCAGGTCGGCTGTGTCCACTCAGGTATGGCTTCTTCCAAGAATGCCAGCACATTGAAGCTCGATGAACGCGGCGTGCAGCTGGGCTTGTTCAGGAACCGAGTCTAAGCAGCTTGTTGACAGGAAGATGTGAGACATCATTGAACGATGAATTTGACACGATGTGGATGCAGCACAAGGTTTCCTTGAGGCTCTCTGGGCCACCGCGCTGTTGTGGTGGCCATGGTTTCGAGCTTGGGAAGACGGTTTGCACATCGACCTCCGCTCCAGCATTCGTTGGCTCTTGCGCTTCTCTGAGGCTTTGAGCTTGTGCACCAGGGCCATGGAGCTGGGAAGTGCGTTTGGGACGTTTGTCGAATGGCGCTCTGTTTGAGCTCATGCAAGTGAATTCTGCGCCACTCCATGCGATGGGTCACCGGCTTGTGCCGAAGGTGACAGGCTGCAGACCGACGTGTTGGACTGGCATCATTGCATTTTTCAATCAACCCGAGAAAGAGTTGGCAGTACAAGGAGCAACATGCTTACCTGTCAGAATGAATTCAGTTGGTGTATTACAAAATATTACAAACATCCGATTCTGACTGCTCTTGCGGCGGGTTTCCGACGAGGATTTTGAACATGTTCATGTGACTCCGAAGCGCATTGAAAACCACAGTATCAAACTCCTCGAGACTTGGCGCTGTCTTTGAGAAAGATCTGACATGCGTCGCGCATTGTGCACACAAGAAGGAAGCTCGGAAGCAGAAAGTAGTGCTTGTGATGCCCCGGACCTGCCGTGAGAATGCTGCTCTTCTTGTGTGCTGTCTGTCGGTTGAAAGCACACCTCAAATCTGCAGCCGTTGCCAAGTAATGTGCCAAGATGAGGCCGGATTCTGTGCAGGGAATCACAAAGTGTACCCCTGCAAGGCGTAGCGCACGTGAAATGTGCCAGAGATGAAAAAAAAGGTATTGGGCTTTGTCGAGGCCGTGTGAGTGGTTCCGTTCAAGTGAAGCTGCAAAGACACGGGCTGCTAGAGTCAAGTGGTGCAAGGTCCAGTTCAGGCATCTGGAGTGATGTGACGAATGCTGCTGAGCGGATGTTTGCAGCTGTGCATGTCTGTAGCACTGGTTTTTGCCCGAACAGCGAGAGCGAGAGAGCAGTATTTCTGTGCGAGTCGTGTCTGGGATCGGAGGAGTAACAAAGAGAGCGTAGTTTTCGTGAGGTGTTACTGGGCACACTGGTTGGTAACCAGGAATTGTATCGTGCAGAGTTTCGCCGAACTCTGCTCAAACGTTCTTGATGGGAGAGCAGTTGCTGCGCGCTGAAGTTCAGGCTTAGTACCCTGCTTGGAGCATGAAGAGCTTTTGACAAAACACGGCTGAGATGACTGTGTAGATTTGAGCAGCCTGGCAGGCGTTGCGCGAACGGCTTAGTGCGCACAGGACATGGCTGCAGCGTCTGGACATCGAGGCTCAGTTGAGTCACAACTTAATCCGCGGGCCGCACATCGGACCTGCAGCTGTGGTCGTGGTCTGGATGAGTGCGAACGCAGGACAACATGATCGAGCTGAAGATAGCAATGCAGGGCAACGCTCATCGCCTCCGTTTCCTTGTGTACGAGGACGAGACGCTGCTCCCCAAGTCTGCTTTGCATACTCGGCGCAGCACTTCACATTGTCCCGGAGCAGGCCGATGCGTACCCGAACAGTGGAGGTATGATGATGAGCGAGGCTCGCCGTGGTTGTGTGCTAGCAGACTGTGATGCATCCCTCCTGCAGTTGACAGTTCCGCTCAGAATGGTACTGGAATCACTGTGCATTGTACATCTTGAGTTTGCATCAGTACGTGGCTCATTCTGGAAACCTGCAAGGTTTGCAATGTGCATGGATGTAGTGATGTGGTTGATGTAGTATCAATCGCTGGCAATCTTCCGCGCAAGCTCACTCAGCACGCTAGTGCGTTTTGAAGTCATCCGGCGAACGGGCAACACAGGACGATGCAGATTCAGACCTAGTGGAAGCAACTTGGCTCATGTTGGCAATCTCGGCAGAGTTCGTCGGACCTTCTGTTTCTGCATTTCGTGTCACATCAGAAGGAGCCAACAGCCAACAGTATGTACCTAAGCCTAAGCACGGTTCACACGATCCACCACGCCGCCGGCATCACAGCCCATTCGGCAAGGCCATCAACACTCTCTTGACCGCGGAATCGTTGACGGTCATGGATGTGTTGCGGGCCGCATCGCAAGCAAGCAAGGCACGAGACCTACACCCCGTGAAAGATCGCATAGTGGCATAGTTGGCGCAGCAGTGTTCTTTGCGAAGTTTTGATTTTGCTGTGGAGGTGTCGGACAAAGACCTCCTTGCTTGTTTGGATGATGGTGCGGGAGATGGTTTGCAGGATCGGCCGTTGCAGCTTCAACAGGAAATTTTCTTTGGTGAATATGTGGGCACGAGGACCGGCGGCACTCCGATGCCGATGGAAGCTTTGCCTTCGAGGGTGACGATGAAGGATGCGGGAACATTGGCCATGGCTGCTGGAGACATGTAGCATGTGGAGGGACAGTTTGTTGCAGATAGGTGGCTTTCACACTGCCAAAGTTGGTGGGCATGTTCCAAGCCCGAATAAACCCTTACACTGCGTGCCTTGATAAACCACAAAATGCGAGGAGATCTGTGCATCGAGGCGCCATCAGAGCGCTCAGAGCGTCCTGGCTGGAAGAAGATGAAGTGGCAGGCCGCCGATGGATGGAATGGCTGCTGAGTTAGAATCTGCTTCGGTGGTCCATGCAGTTGGCGAAGAGTGTCGCACCTTCTCTGCAGGAAGTGGAGGACCAAAGATTAGAAGACCAACGCCTGGCGACGCAGAAGCGGCGAAAAGGTGCGGAATCGATGAACAACGAAGAGCTCAAAGCCAAGACGGAGCAGATCTTCAACTCCTCCGAGGCGGAGCTGACCGAGGACAAGAGCTGGAAGAGAGTCCCTCCCAATCTTCTGCAGGCATTCAACATCCTGTCGAACGAGCTCTTCCAGCTTCAGACGCGCATGCCTTCCGGCAGAGACAGTTGTGTTAAATCTTAGCATATCAACTCATTGGGTGTGCAGTGTGCGGGGGTGCCCCTCGAGTTCTGCAAAGTCCTGGAGAGATTGCAATGAGCCGCCAGGTAGGCCAGTCTTTTTAAAGTCTGCAACTCCCGGTATACGTGCAAAGATTCTGAGGACAGCTGGTCTTGAAGCCGATGCCATTGACTTCAATGTCCACAGCTGGGTGGGCTTCTGATGTCAGCACGTTGTCAGGTGTCGTCCACACGGTGTAGGAGGTCCCCACCTCGCAGGTCGTCAAGCTGCGTGGATTTTCGAATGGAATCTCGGAGGACTTGAAACAGCTGAATGCACGTTGTGGCTCCCTGGCAGATACTTCCGAACTCTCTCCTTGTGTCAGCCAGCTCTGCTTCTGCGAAATCGGGCTGAACCTGTACCCTTGCTGTTGTTCGGAGTCCTAGAGATCTCGTCAACACCTCTGGTTCTGGACAAGGTTACGACTACGTGGAACTACGAATAAACTTCCGGGAGGACGCTGTCGCACGGTTGCTGTTTTCCAGTAGATGCCGAAGCCGACCATTAGAACAAATTCTGAAATCTCCTCGAAACACACACATGAATCGAGATTTTGGTGCAGGACCTTTATCCCTTCTACCCTCCTTCGGTATCCATCGTGCGGCCTCGGTTGCTGGGAAGATGCTTGGCGTCTACGTACGAACCCATGTCAGTATGGTCAAAGAGCTGACCGAGTTGCTGAACAGTCACCGATTTTCGGCTTTCAAGTTGAAAGTCCTGGGCAAACCAGGGACGATCCCCCGTTTTGGTTCAAGGACACGACGTGCAGGCAGCGTTGGCTTGCCATCCACGGCTCCAGCTTAAGGGCTGGAGCCCCTTCCAGTGCCTCGGCCAAGACAGCCAGCAAAGAACACAGTGACCTGCGTTTGCCTAGAGTCCTAGAGTTTCAGTCTCAGGCCCAGCTGCCCAGCATTTCATGACCAGGCAGCAGCTGTGCAGCATCTTCCGTGCTCATTCCAGAGGTCGTCCAGGGACATGCTCGTCTCCATCCGCAGTTTCCTAGATCGGGTGGCTCGCGACTTGCCTTCGTTCGATCTATTGTCGCCGACGAAACAAGGAGCAGACCATTTAGGATTTGCCGGCCCAGGAGTGGACCTGGAAAGCGACAGGAATACAATTGTCGATTTTCCTGAGGCCTCGGACACCAGAGCATATATCGTGGCAGCATTCCTTTAGTATGCAGCGATCCTTTCGCAGGGTGCTTTCTCCGTGGTGGAGCAGCAGCTCGGGCTTTTGCGCGAGCGCCCCATAGTCTCAGATCAAACTGCTGGCACCTGAATAGCATCTTGTAAGGTCGTCTTCGGGGCATCGTACCTTTAGATCTCCGACCTGAGACTTTGGGCAATGCTTATGAGGCCCTTGAAAGGAGAGGTCCTGATTCGCTCTGCATTCTGTGTCCTGCCAGGATGACCCTTGGGCACAGAAACTCGGCTCAATTTGTGGAAGGACTGAGCAGGAGGTTCGCCAGGCAAAGCCTCAGCAAAACGGGGTGAACAGCACGAGCAGCCTTGCAAGTGACGGTGCGTGGTGGAGTTGTATTTAATGTATTGTGCTGTTTTTCCATGTGCGATGTCGCGAAAATTCAAGATGAAGGCCAAGTAACGGCTTTTGTCGAAGAACTTCTCGTGCACCCATTCCCGAAAGAAGACAACCGCCTGCGGCCAGGAGTGAAGAGCTACAATCAAGCTCTTTCGGTGCCATGCTCTCCGGAGGCGCCAAGACCCATGCGAGACCTTTGAGGGATTCTTGCCAACCTATGTGAGGCAGGAAGTCGACCTCGTCTTCTGCGGGTCCAGGCCCTTCTAGGGTAGTGCAGTGACTCATGACACTGCTTGAATCTTCCGTAGGAGCTGCTTCTACAAGCTCCGGAAGATGGGCTGCCGGAGTGGGCTATGGTACGGCATGCATGGGAAGAGGAGCTTTTCATTGCTGATATAGTGAGGGCTTTGAAATGGGCGGTGATCCAGCACATTCGCATGGATCAGATCGCACTACAGGACACGACGGTTGGGATCCTGCAGCTTTGAAAGCAGCACAGGAGGCTCAGGAGCAACGCAGCGCGAGCAAATTGACTTCTGATGCACGATTCCAAACTGCAGTGCAGGACTTGGAGCTGCAGCAAGCGGTGTCGTCAATTAGCGCCCTGGTGTTCAGAGTTCGTACAGGGACGTGTATAGGCGCCGCGACGGATTCCCCCCCCTCGTCCCAACACGGACACAAGAAAAAAGACGTGCACTCCAAAACACCCCCACAAGACATCCTGCTCTTTCAGTCCCTTGGCCCTTCCAGAGCGCCTTGGTGCCAGTGCCATGCCGAAGTCCGCCGCAAGTTCAGGGCTGATTTGGGCCCTCGGCTGTCGGTTTCCCGCCTTTATCAACTCCCCCCCTGTGCACCGCGATAGAGATGTTGCAGAACCTGCAAGGATGAAGGAACTTGACCGGCTCAATCAACTTCTGGATCCAGGGCGGTGGTCTGCAAAGACACAAGAACTCGAAAGATGTGGTTTTTCAGTGGGTCTGGTCATCTGCAAACACAGACTGCGCCCAACACAATTTCAGCCCCCCTGCATCATAGCAGACAAAGAACAGGCCAGCGAGCAAAGGCTTGTTAATGTGACACGTGTTTGGAAGGGCCTTTAGCCTTGGATCTCGAACAGAGCTGCAACGCTGTGCCGCAGCTAAGGCAGAAGCCTCTCGCACTACGAGACAGGCCGCGGGCAATAGCATTTGTTGTGCGGTTTTTTACAAGCTGGCACTGGTACAGGCTTGAGGACTGTTTGCACTGCCTTTGATGAGGCAAGGATGACTTGGCAGACCTGCTGTCCAAGTCATGTCTGGTGCCCTTCCTGGAAGGACCGGACACTGCAAGCAGTCAGGTCTTGAGTCAAGGGGGCAATGCCTGAGCTGAGAAGCGTCGCTGTGCGAAGGTGAACTTGCTGCATCCTACACAAGCATCAGCGAGCGATGTGGCATCTTCCGAGAAGTGTTGGGTTTGGTTAAACAGCTGCTGGTCAGCCTGCCGTTGCCTGCCACAATTTAGTTTCGGTGGCGTGATGTCCTAGCGGAAGGTAAGCGGCTTCTTCAACCTATATATATATATATACACATACACATGTACATGTTTATATGTATATGTATATGTATATGTATATGTATATGTCTATGTATATGTCTATGTCTATGTCTATGTCTATGTCTATGTCTATGTGTATGTGTATGTGT